ACATGAGGCCTCTCTGTTGGTTCTCACTGCCAGATGGATGGAGGATTTTAAGGGTTTAACACTGGGACACAGGACAAAGCTGAATGGCCCATATGGGGATCTAATGTCTTACTTGATCATAACCACAGCATGCTCTCCACAATTGACCTAATTAGATGAGATTTTCAAATATGCCGTCTAAAGTTTGTTTGAATATCAGATATGGGTCACTGTTCTCTAGGGCCTTCGTGCTTATTTGCCTATTGGTGTTTGCTGAGGTCAAGACAGGAGATTTGTTGTTTGTTTAGCACATTCTTTCTTTATAAAAACTATTCTTAATATTTATTTATCTTTAATAAATAAACTATTAATTTATTTGTTTGTCTCCTTAATTTGGAATATGTTAATTTAGAACTATCAGCAACTTGAACAAGGATAGGGTAACATTTAGTTTGAACATCATATTAAGAAAGTATTTTATAATTTTTACAAATTTATATTGAAGATAACAAAGAGAATTCTCAGCATGAGAAAATCTTTCTTCAACCATCTTTGGGTAGAAATAAACAATTGGGATGTTTATTTCACCATAAATGCCTCTCTATTTAATAAATCAGGTGTTAGGAACAGGTATCCTTCAGCTCATTGGCATATTTTGTTCACTTTGCAAGATGTATAATTATTGGTATATCCTAGGATTTTCAGACTATGACAGCAAAATCACATTCTAAGTTCTAAACTTTAAAATCAAGACATTCAGTCGTGACTGGCAGCCAATATCATTGCAAAGTACTGCAAGGAAGCCCTAGACTGTTGCCTATTGGGAAGGATGAGAGTGCTCTGTCGAGAACATCACTGGTGAGAGAAATTGTTGCCATCCTCCCTAAAATTGAGTTCTTGGGAATGAGTATGCATACTCTGGAAAAAGGAAGAAAGGAAGTCAGAAAAAGGAGCAGAGAGAAACAGAAGAGAAAAGGTGATAAGAGGCATTTGGCTCACCATGAATGCATGAATTGAAGGTAAAAACCCAACTATGAGAGTGCCCGTACGATGATCCATCACCACGATGGCTCAGTTTTGTGTTTCCTGAAGGCTTATCACTATAGTGAGGGAAGCTTTCCTACTGATGTGCCTGGTGCCATAATTTAATCAGTGCCTACTATTTCATCTTCTTTAAGCTCATACTTAACAAAACCCTATTATTTTGTGCCCTACTTGATTGTCCAAGGAGAAAGCACATGATGGTTGGACTATTGCCAGTGGTGGAAACATCTGCTGTATTTCTCAGTATAAATAAATAATCAGTTCTCTAAAGATTTCAATATTTTGTGAGTTTTTTTTTGTTGAGTCTGAAATATCTACATTTAATTAACTTATGTACATCTCCAAAATCCCACTGCAAGGCAGGAACAGGAACAATGACTCTTAGAGAGGGAACCAAATGGAGTTCACTGTTGCCCGAATTTCTTGGAACTGTGCCATCTGTTTAGCCAGTCTCTCTTCATCTGCTGTCTGCCTAATAGATTATTTTCTAAAGCATGGTACCTAGTACATTTTTTTTAGGTATAATGATGTGATGATTTAATGTAACTTTTGATTCAGCTCTCTGATTTTAAATTATTATCACTAACATTTTCAATATGCAAGTACATCATCTCAATAATTATATGGCTCCACAAATAATCAACTCCCTAACATTTTCTCTCCCATTTCCAGGTAATGTACTATTTTATTTATTTCCTTTGAAGCCTTCCTTCTTACATAATTACAGTGGTTACTTATTTTAAAATATATGTGAATGAGAACCAAACATTTAACACCAGGGCCTTTGGGAGACTTTTGTTTGTGGATTAAAAGTGAGTTTTGGAAACTGGATGACTTCTTTTTAGGTGCTTATCAGTCAGCCAAAATGTTGGTTTGTGTAAAATGTGCATGCCATTTTCCCAGGGTGACTAGATATGTTAAGATGATTCTATTCTAAGGATGACACTAAAGATTCTGAAAACAGTAGGAAGCCCCGCTCCCAAGAAATCATTGGCAAGAAGAGTGCAGAGGGAAGTCAACCACACATATGCATGGCAAGGGCTGTTTCATCCCTTTTCATCTCTTGGAGTTACAGCAGAAACTAGACTTAGCTATGGATCCACCAGTAAGAGACCACATAAACAATATGCTCTTTGTCCCAGAGAGAAAGGAAATTGGACTACCGCTACAAGAGAAGGACTAGGAATTTCCTTCTCCTTTTCCTCCCCCCACTTTCTCCTTCTATTTTTTTTTTTATTCACAGTCTATCAGATTTGCAAATGCAGGTCCTGGGGTCACATGACTGCTGTGGTAGTGGCAGCACCAACAGAGGGAAGGAAAACCCACGTGGAAATTTTGTTTCTTTAGCCAAAGGAACATGATAAAAGGACAAAAGAGTGGATGTAAGAGTCCCATTAATGAACTGGAGGGATGTCGTTGGACAAGCTGTTCAATTCATGACTGACTATGGGTAAAGAAGCAGCCAGGTACACTGTGATTCCCTAGGGCTTCTCTGCTCCTACCCAGAGTAGCCCACCTACTGCCTCTAGTTTAGCCAACTGCTTAAGCAATGCTACCATTTGAGGATCAAACATTCAAACCATGAATCTATGGCAAACATTTTTCATCTTTGAGTCAAAGGTTTTATGAAGTAGAGGAAGGACTTGAGCTACTAATGGAAGCTTTCCTGCTTTTGTTTCCTAAGTAACAGATCACAGGCATAGCCATCATAGCTAGTTTATATTTAAATCATAACACAGTAGAAAAATTAAATATATATTGGTTCAAAAATTTTTTGGATTATCTGAGGAATTGTATGTTTGTGGCTGCTGGAATCATAGACAAGGAAAAAAGTAATTGGTTAAGAGAAAAAGAAAAACGGTGCTTGGAAGTTTCTCAGATTTGATAGGGAATTTAAGCTGTTCACAGAAAATCATGATAAACTCAAGAAAACTATTCCCAAACATATCATAAAGAAACCAATGCAAGAAAGCTCTATCAGAAACTGCCATGACAAATTGACAGATGACACATTATAAGTTGGTAAACAATAATAACCGTTACTGCAAGCTCCACATCACAACCATGGAGCCGTAAGAAAATTTAATTGAGTCTTCCTCAAGTGCTCAAGGAGAAGAAATGAACAACTCATGTCAGCTTTAATTCACTAGATATATTTGTTCATTGTTGGTGGAGACCGCTCGTCTATTTCCCAGCCACACAGACCCAAAATAATCACTCAGAAACGATGTTAATTACAATACTGCTTGGCCTATTAGCTTATGCATATTTCTTGCTAACTCTTACATCTTAAATTAAGCCATTTCTATTATTTTATATTTTACCACGAGGTTTATGGCCCACTGGTAAGGTTCTGGCTAGCTGTCCCCTGTGGCTACATGGCATCTCACTGACTCTGCCTTCTCTCTCCCAGAATTCAGTTTAATTTTCCCCATCTAGCTCTATTCTGCCCTGCCGCTGGCCAAAGAAGCTTCTTTATTCAATAACCAATAAAAGTAACACATATACAGAAAGACTTCCCACACTAATTCTTGAACACAGAGAAAGTGTGCAAGCTTAGGGTTATCCTAGATGTTTCTCCAGGTGTGTCTTGATGTCATCATATGCCATTATTCAGGAAAAAAGACAGTATTTAGAAATATTCTCATATGAAGAGAAACAATGAATTACTGCAACTAGGATACAATAAATGCTAAATAGTTTTCAGGATGAGGAAAAATGATTCCAGGAAAGTATTTAGAAGTTCATTATTATAACAAGAACAATAATAGATATTAATAATTTTTCATCACACAAAGCCTTTCAAATATGCATGATTTCTGAAAAAACAAAATTATTGCATTGTGTGCTAGGTTTTTCCCATTTGCATGTATAATATGGATGACTCAATTTGCATGTGAGCTTATTCTTTGGCCATAAAAGATTTTAGCTATAAATCAGAAGATAAGGAAACCTGGAAATTCCCCAAGTATTTAAAGATTAGAAACCATACTTTTAAATAATCTGTGGATAAAGAAGATTTGAGGAATATTTACTCCAGTAAACACTAATCTGACAAGAGAGGGAATGTCTTAAATCAATAATCCAGGTGCCTGTTTGAAGAGTGAGAAAAAGAGGAGCAGACAAAACCCGATAAAATGAATTAAATTTTTATTAATTTTTAAAACACTTATTAGAGAGAGGGAGAGAATGAAAAGGAAGAGAGGGAGAGAGGAGAGAGAGACAGGAAGGAAGGAGAGGGGCAGGATACATATGCACACACATGCCAGTTGTGTGACAACTGTCAGGAGTCAATTTCCTTTAGTGACACAGGTCTTGGGAACTGAGTTCAGGTGGAAAGTCTTGGCTTCAGGTGTATTCATCATATTTCTCACATTTAGTTAGTTCTCAATAATTTCATTACATTTGAAATCTCCATTTTAAAAATGTTATACAATGTTTTTAGTCTCTGTATGTGGAGCTAACCAGGTCTTGGATTCCAAGGAATCTGCATAGCTACACCTCTTCTCTATACTCTGCTCCTATCCTACAGTTTGGCCTCATGATGTACTTGGCGAATATAAGTAATATGCACATTTGGTGCCCCCCCCCGATGGTTTGGGATCATTTTGATGTCATCAGGTGAAGACACTTGTGGGAGGCTGAGAGACTATGCCATGACAACATTTACTAGCATTCAGTTATTTTTAAGGTTCACAAGCCACGATGGGCACAGAATACATAATTGAAAGACATAAAATTGCTCCATTGGAAATCTTGGGAATCCATCAAGTCCTATGTCTTCGTTTTCCTGGAATCCTGAAAGTTAGAGGATGGAGAGGATCCTTAGAGAAAGAGGATGCAAAGCTGCTATAAATATTCTTGTTCAAGTGAGTTCCTGGACAGCCAGTTCTCAGCAGGAAAGAACAAAACAAGAACTAAAACCACATCACTTTGCTTGACGACCGGTTCCACACTGGAGGCTGAATCAGCAGGTGGAAGAGCTATGGATGCCAACACCAAATTGGTCATCGGCACGCTTTGTAGCAGCTTCCTCCTCTTCCAGGTTCTTTTCCATTTTGTAAGTTACTGGTTTTCAGCCAAAGTTTCTACAGGTTATAATAGTCTTAGCATCGACAAGAAGATCGAATGGAACTCAAGGGTAGTATCTACGTGCCACTCTTTGCGGGTTGGGATTTTTGGCTTATACCTCTTCTTATTTGATGAGCCTACTATAGCTGATCCACTCTGGGGTGATCCAATGCTTGTGAAATTGAATACTGCAACTGCTTCAGGCTACCTCATTTCTGATTTATTGATTATCCTTTTGAATTGGAAAGTGATGGGCGACAAGATTTTTGTAATTCACCATTGTACGGCGCTAGCTGCATACTACTTTGTACTGAAAGATGGAATGCTAGCGTACATTGCCAACTTCTGCCTGATTGCCGAGCTTTCCAACCCCTTCGTGAACCAGAGGTGGTTCTTTGAGGCCCTAAAGTACCCCAAGTTTTCCAAAGCCAACGTCCTCAATGGAGTTCTCATGACAATGGTCTTTTTTGTAGTGCGGATCCTCGCGATACCTCCTTTGTATTTCTTCATGTACTCCGTGTACGGAACAGAAGCCTACATGAGGCTCGGATTTGTGGTCCAGTGTACCTGGATCACTACCTGTCTTATTTTGGATGTGATGAATGTCATGTGGATGATCAAAATTACAAAAGGATGCATCAAGGTCATCTCTCTCATCAGACAAGAAGAAGCCAAGAGTAGCCTTCAGAACGGAAAACTTGATTAAAGGCGTGCTTCATCAAAAAAAAAAAAATTCTTGTTCAGGTTTTCTGTGAACCTAAGTTTTCACATCTCTTGAATGATATCTAAGAACGCAGTCACTGTGTCACAGGTGATTGCAAGTTTAGTTTACTCAGCTGCCAAATGATTTTCATTGTCTTCCCTGTTTTAATTTGCTACCAGCAATGTATATATGATACCATTAGCCTGCCCTATCTAGTTTATAATATGATGTTAATGTTCATGTCAATGACAACAGAATGACAGTCATAACTTCTCTTTTGTGAGTCATTACTTTATTTATGTTTGAGGATAGCTGCCAGTACACACTTATGCCTTTGCAGGTATCATTTTAATATCTTATCAATTTTTATTTTGGAGAATATATAACTAATTTATTTCATCCCTAATCAGTAGCTGTTTCCTAATAAGGCTTTGCTCCACTTCCTTTGGGGAATTTGTGTACCCTTCCTGTTGGTTTTGGAAATGTCTGCCAAAGACCCCTGAGTTAAATGTTTGATTCCCACTCTGTGGTACTACTAGTAAGCACTAGAAGCTTTAAGAGATAGAGACCACTCTAAGATTCTTGGGTCATTTGTATCTTGCCCTTGAAGGGGACAGTGGGACCCCAGTCACTTCTTTTTTTGCTCATTTGTTTCCTGGCCATTCTTCTGCTATAATAGTCTATCACAGGTTCAGAACAACAGGGCCAACCACTCACAGATTGGTACCTGCAGAGTTGTGAGGCAGAATAAATGTCTTCAGTTTATAAGTTGGTTATCACAGATATTTGTTAGAGTGACAAATTACATCAATTTCTGCAATCAAGATTAGAATATTTAATAGGAATGCATATGTAGACGGATGAATATATTTGTTAAATGGGAGCTTTAAATACAAACAATTTCAATGCTAATATTGTATGAAAAATGAATGATCAGATTAGATTTTTTTATTTTACTTTACATACCAATGACAGTTCCCCTCCCTCCTTTCCTCCAGTTCCTTTCCTGACCTCTCCTACCCCCATCCACTCCTCCTCCATCTCCACTGAGATGGGGTAAGGTCTCTCTTGAGAATCAACTAAGCATGGCACATCAAGTTGAGGAAGGACCAAGCTCCTCCCTCCTGCTTCAAGACTGAACAAGGTTTCTTAGCATAAGGAATAGGTTTTAAAGAGCCAGCTCATGCGTCAGGGACAGGTCCTGGTCCCACTGCTAGGGGCTCAATGAAAGTCCAAACTGCATAACTAACTTGACCCAGTGCAGAGGGCCTAGGTTGATCCCATGCCAGATCCCTAGCTGTCTGTCCAGAGTGCATGAGCTCCCATAAATTCAGGTCAGCTGTCTCTGATGGTTTTACAGTCATGATCTTAATCCCCAACCCCTGCTCATAGAATCCTCTACCCTCTCTTCATCTGAACTCCAAGAGCTAAGCCCAAGGCTTGGCTGTGGATTTCTGTATCTGCTTCCATCAGTTACTGGATGAAGGGTCTATCATGACAATTATGGTAGTCACCAATCTGATTACAGGGGAAGGCCAGTTCAGACATCCTCTCTAATACTGTTAGGAGACTTATCTGGGATCATCCTTGTGGGTTCCTGGGAATTTTCCTGGTACCAGGTTTCTCCCTCACCTCATAATAGCCCTCTCCATCAAGATCTCTTTCATTACTCTCCTCCTCATTCCATGCCCAACTCTACCATCTTGATTTTTCATGTTCCTATCGCCCTTCCCCTCCCCCCAGTTCACCCAGGACATCTCATCTATTTCCTCTTCCCTGGGATATCCATACATCCTTCTTAGAGTCTTCCTTGTTACCTAGCTTCTCTGGGGCTGTGGGTTGTAGCCTGGTTATCCTTTGCTTTACATCTAATATTCATTTATAAATGAGTACATACTGTGTTTGTCTTTCTTGGTTTTCTGGGTCTGGGTTACCACATTCAGTGTGATTTTTTTTTCTAGTTACATCCATTTGTCTGAAAATTTCAGGAGATCATCATATTTTTACATCTGAGTAATGCTCCATTGTGTAGACATACTTTTTACTTATTCATCCTTCGGTTGAGGGACTTTTAGGTTGTTTCCAGGTTCTATTACGAATAATGCTGATACGAGCATAGTTGAGCAAGTATCCGTGTGATATGGTTGAGCATCCTTTGGGTATATGCTCAAGAGTGGTATCACTGGGTCTTGAAGTAGATCGAGTCCCAATTATTGGAGAAACTTCCATAACAATTTCCAAATGGTGGCTCTACAAGTTTGTACTCCCACCAGCAGTGGAGGAGTATTCCCCTTCAGATTAGATTTTTAACTTTACAGAAAAGATATTGAAGTGACAAAAATAGATCATGGTAAATTTTATAGACATGCAATTTTTAGGAAATAATATCATTCTGGTGGACTAAACAGCATGTGCTAAAATGTGTCTCTTAAAAACAGGTCTCTCAACAGCAAAACTGATGTTAGTCATCTTAGAATACAGAGGATTCTGCTTTAGCTGCTGTTGCCATCACTTTAGAGCAAGTTCATGGGTTTGAGGTTTGAGGGTACAGTTTGTCACAGTAGGGGAGGCATGGTGTCAAGAACACATCTCTGTTTTGGAAGAAGACTGTTCTTCCCATCTGGGTGGAACAGGAAGCAGAAGGAAAATGCAGAACTTTTCAGGCTGCCCACTTCTTCTGTTTTTCTTCAGTCTGACTCACTAGCCCATGGGATTAATTTCGCCCATGTTCAAAGGGGCAGGGGGAATCCTCCCCCATTCCTTAAACTTTCCTGGAGAAACTCTCTCAGGTACTCATAAAAGTGTGTCTTCTTACTTTGCCAGGGTAGTCCATTAGAGATAACTCCACTGGCATAAGTGTCCGTGAACCAGTCCCAAAGTTGTGAGCATGGGAGAGCTGTTCCCATTACTCACTCATTGGTCAGGTGGTGGCATGCGCACGGGGGGAAATGCCATCCCCTACTCTACTCCACCCCCACCCATCAACACCTGAGTCTGGTAGGAGAGCTGGCCCTGGGTCATAAGGGCAGGAGGATTGCTCCTGTCCCCTCCCAACTGCAACACTCAGGAGAGCAGGTCCTGCACCTCACCTGGAAAACACAATAGAGACAATCCTGTTGGCAGAGGTGTGGGTGAACCAACTCCAAAAATTGTGAGCATAGAATTTCTGTCTTCAATACTCATCTATCATGTGATGATGGCATTGACAGGGGAGAGATGACCCCCCCCCATCAATGCCTGAGATATGGCAGGTGAGAGAGACATGGCTCTGAGGTCAGAAGAGTGGAAGAACTGCTTCTGTCCCTCATCAGCTGCAGCAATTGGGAGAGCAGCCCCTTCACATGACTGGGCAACACAATACAGCTTGATCTGAAGATGTGGGTGTGACAGAACCAACCCTGAGGACTTGAAAGCAGGACTGGAAACAAGCCCTGCCCATGGATCATTGCTGTGAGGGGTAAACTAGCCAAAACAATTCAGGAGAGCTCACCTTGGTGGTGTGGCAAGGAAGAGCTGGCCAGCTGACCAACCCTGCAACTACCCAGGTCCAGAACCAGTGATATGTGTTGGCCCACCCCGATATCCACCTCATTTGTGATCTGCTGGAGCATGTAAAGGGACTGGTCCTGCAGACCCAACGCTGCAGGATCTTCATGTCAGAGGCCAACAGCAGGATAACCAAGAGGAGTTCCAGTGAGGGCCCAGCATTGATAGTGTAGCAGAAACCAGAGGCCTCGGACTAGACCAATGACTCTTTGAAATGAACACTTGCAAGTAAAGATGTATGGATAAAAGGGTTTACTGTGTAACTACAGCTTCCATGATGAGATAGATTTTTCTTTCTTTACTTTCTCTTAAATTTTATTTTATTTTATATTGAGAAAAGGTTGCAAGGGCAGAGGGTAGATATAAAGGAATAGGGAAAAGTGGACGGAGAGGCATGATGTGAAAGACACAAAGAATAAATATAAAAATAATTAAAAAACAGTATGTCTTCTCATAGATTATAAATTCAATCAAGTTTGCAAAAAAGAATAACCAATGCAAGTTCCCAGCTTACTATATGAATTCTAACTCAAATAAGTATTTAAAAACATTTAATAAATCTCAGCATGTTAGACTTCAGTTGATTTTATTTAGATCAAGATGAGTAAAATCAGCTTCATTGATCTTCACTATCTAGCTGCTTTCCAGGCTTAGACCAATGTTGGAAGAGCAGGGCCCCTTGTTTGTCCCAGCTGCCTGGCTAGCTTACACCTGAAATAACCACACAGGAACTGTATTAATTAAAACACTGTTTGGCCATCGGCTCTAACTTCTTATTGGTTAACTCTTACATTTCAGTTTAACCCATCTTCATTAATCTGTGTATCGCCACATGGTTTACCTGAGATTCTAATGGGTGTCCATCTCCGTCAGAGGATCCGTGGTTTCTCTCACTCTGCCCTTCTTCCTCCCAGCATTCAGTTCTGTTTTCTCTGTCTACCTAAGTTCTGCCCTATCAACTAGGCCAAGGCAGTTTCTTTATTCATTAACCAATGAAAGCAACACACAAACAGAAGGAACTCCTACATCAGACCTAGTACAATTTAGCAGGATTGTTTGTTTTAACTAATAATTTAATTTTCAAAAAGTAGAATAAAAAATTTATTTTTCATAAATTTCTACAGAAACATAGATTAATAAATATTTGCATATGGAACAAATATAGATCTAGAAGAAAGAGGGGTAAATTATTTACTTAAACATGAATAATAGGTTATTAGTTTTGGGGGGACTTTAATATGATAATTTCTTAATACTACTGTTTTATTCATAGATTGAAGTGAAAAAAATTTCAGGTATTTTATAATGTAATTCTTGCCTAGAAAGATATTATAAAAATTCCAAGTGCATCTTATGTAACTAAGAACTTGCATGTGTTTGTTGCTGAACTCTGAAATGTTGTGGTTATGGATTGTAAAATGAGGGCTGGCTTCTTTGTTGGAGTTTCTGTCCTGCCTGGTACCCCACAGCCGGCAAGCCCCAAA